TTTCCAATTATGAATGTCATTATATTGTATATCTAAAATATACCAATAAAATTAATTTTTAAAAAATGATACCTAGGTGAAGTATGGCACAGGATAATTTTTGCTGACTTAGTGATTTCAAATTTGTTAGACTTCCAAACATATATTGTACATAAAAACACACACAATTTTACTTGACAATTTAAATTATAAATCTTAAAATTGAAAAAATAAAATGTAAGACTTCTGTTTCTACATATATTTTGGTCATATAATCATCCACAAATCTCTAGTTGTATTTCAAAATTGTACCACAGAAAAATTTTTCTTTGGGTTGGTTTTCATGAAGAAATCACACATTGGTTAGATTAAACCCGGTCACTTTGAAAGCAAATTAAAGAGCAGTTTCTCCTTTGAGGAAATAAATTTATCTCTGTTCAGGTTACCTCAATAAACACACAACTGACTGAAATTCTTCCACTATGCTTTATTCTTTGATCCTCAAGGGAGCTGAATTGTTTGGAGACTAGAAAGACCAAACAACAATTTATTTAATTAGGAGCTTTGAGATTCCAATTTTAAGATGCTAGATACTGTAAACAAGACCCTATTTCTTCTCAACTGTACTTCCGTGGTCTCACAAGTGGGTTTTTTCAGACATATTGTGTACAATAAAAGCTTCAGTGATTACCATTTGAGCAAGTCCATGTGTACTACCAAGGATAGATGGAGGTAGAAAGAAAAGAGAAGACAAGCAGGTAAAGGAAGAAGAAAAAGCAAAAGGAACATGGGCATAGAGCTTCATGTCTAGAGTAATGATACTGAAAGATAGAGTCTATGATGATTAAGTCCCTGTACTTTGTACTTTGAAGGAACTTTAGTTTTGATTAATATCTGTCTTTTTCAGCTATTCTTGTGCTTCCTTTTCACACTAGAAATTCAATCTTTCAAGTTGTATTCTCCTATCAGATTTCTTACATTTAATTATTGATTTATTATTGCATGCTGAAAATGTATTAGGCATGAGGTATTGTCTACTTTGTTCCAATTTAATTGGTATTTGTCTATCATATTCCCCAGTTATTTCTAAAGGCAAATTCCATTTAATAGCTCTTATTTGTCTGATTTATTATAATTATAATTTATCTTACTGTCTACATCTATCAATAAAGTTATTTCTGTTGCTTAATAATTATTTCAATGTGTTCAAGAAAATATCAAGTGATTGAATTTGGAGAGACTGTCTTTGTATTTTTATTAATTTAATAGAAATCTTACAGTATTTTAATGTAATATCTCCTGTTGGCTATTGTTTAAACAAAACCACTCATTGTGAGTTAGGAAGACATCTTTGGTTTCTTTTTTATTGACAGTCTCCAGCCTGGGCACTCATCAAGTCTATGATGTGGTTAAGGTTTATATTTATTGACCTGCTTTGTGATGAATTAGGATAATCAACATTCTTATATTAAACACAATTCCATTTTTTATAATTTGCATTACTTGGTTATCATGAGTTGTTTCTTTAAAATACCTATGGGTGCATTTTACTTAACTTTACTACTCAGTTCGTATCTATATGAAAGCTTGTTGTCAGCAGGAAGATTTCTTTTATGTGTTATAGCAGACATTTTGGTTGTGACCTATGCACTTGTTCAGAACCTACAATAAGAAAGGGACGATGTAAGTTTCTGGCAGTACAAATGTTGCTCCACAATTTTCACAACTTACAGCTCAGTGTCTGGTAGAGAAATTGCCCATTCTCTTCTCTCAGCCTAAAGTGTTTTTTAATGTCTCATCTCTTCTGATTGGCAATGACCCAGGCTTTCTCTCTGAACTCAAATTTTCTTATTTCAGAAAGAAAACTTTACTCATATTTTTATGTCTTATATTATTTAAAAATCTCTAGGATTTCTTTTTTTTTTTTTTGGTACCAGGGATCGAACTTGGGTCCTTGAGCTTGCAAGCAGGCAGCGAAACCACTGAGCTAAATCCCCGGCCCTAGGATTTCTTAATACTGACATTTTATGTCATGTAGGATATAACAAACTTTGTGAATCATTATTTTGTCTTTTAATGTTTATAGAATAATTCTATTTGTATAACTTTCTAATATTTTAATCAAATCCATCCATATATATTTTGGCCACTAACTTTGATTATTTTAAGTGTACATTCCAAGTCAAAAGCATGGGTACAAGAAAACACAAAAACACATAAGCCTATTATATGATTTTAATGGTGGTGTGCTTTCTTTTTCTTCTGTGTGCATAGTTCACATGCTTTTTCTTCTAGGAGGAACTCGTCAAAAAAATATTCTAGCAAAGAAAGAGTCATAGAGAGCTTTGTTAGTTAGAAATCCATGTGGGGTTAAAAAAGGTAAAAACAAACAGTTGTATTTATAATAATCAGAATTCCATCCATGATGATTACCATAGCTTAAGGACATACTACTAGTGACAGCCCTCCAAGAAATACTCACTGCAATGTTAAGAACAGAAATTTACTTCTTCAAGATGGTCTTTGTATCCAAAAAAGGAAAACAATAAATTCATTTAATTTTTCTTGAACCTTATCATGTACTGAACATGTACTACTCCTATTACAGTGATGAGGTATTTGCAGAGTTGAAATTACTTTTTCAAGGCCACAAAGATGTTATGTGGGTGACAAGGATTCTATTCCATGAAGTCTGACTCAAGAATCCAATTTATAAATTACAGTCTTATATTATACCTTTGGAATTTTATATATGCAAAATAATTATGGTAAGAAATGAAAATAATATCTATAGCCATAATGATAGCTGTCATTTATTGAGACTCTTCTTTTTCGGTACCGGGGATCAAACTCAGGTCCTTGTGCTTGTGCAGCAGGGGTCGAAACCACTGAGCTAAATCCCCAGCCCTATTGAGACTCTTACTGAGAACAAAGACATTTTTAACACTTGAGACCAGTGTTTCAGTAGAAATCACAATTTTAGAAAGAAAAGCTATGGCACTGAGATTTAACTATCACACCACTGAATTGTCAAATCAGAATAGTGGCTGACTGTAAAATCATCACTGTTAAATCACTACTGTAGACATAGTACAATGAAGAACTAATGACATTATCCAGAAACGTACATGCAAACACTTCAATTACTTTGGAAAGGTGATATGACAAAAAAGTTTAAATTATGTTCATAAATTAAAAATGGAAAATTAAAACAAGTGAGTCAATTATTAAAATAAAATAAATAAATTTGTATTACACTAAGGAAGTAGAATTGATTATACAAATTTAAAATGGAAATGAGCTATCATGTGGCTGAATGAACCACTGCTATTGTTCAGACACAACAGTGAGTGAAACTCATCCATCAAAAAATGATATTATAAAGAGGTTACCATGTGAGATCCCAGGTGGCTGTTCATTGAACATTGCTTTCTTCCTTCTCCAGAAGACAAAGAAGTAACATGAAAGTTGAAAACCACACAGAAGTAGCACAATTCTTCCTCTTGGGCCTTTCAGATGATCCAGAACTTCAGCCCCTTCTCTTTGAACTGTTCCTGTCCATGTACCTGGTCACAGTGCTTGGGAACCTGTTCATCATCCTGGCTGTCAGCTCTGACGTCCACCTCCACACCCCCATGTACTTCTTCCTCTCCAACTTGTCCTTTGTGGACATCTGTTTCACCTCCACCACAGTCCCAAAGATGCTGGTGAATATCCAAGCACAGAACAAAGGTATTTCCTACATAGAGTGCTTAACTCAGGTTTATTTTTTTAATACTTTCCTGGGAATGGATAGTTTTCTTTTGACAGTGATGGCTTATGACCGCTTTGTGGCCATTTGCCACCCATTGAGATACACACTCATCATGAATCCTTGGCTCTGTGGACTCCTTGTCCTGATGTCCTGGATCATCATGTTATGTGTCTCGCTTATTCATACTCTCCTAATGATGGGACTCATCTTCTCTACAAGCACCAAAATCCCTCATTTCTTTTGTGAACTGGTTCAGGTTCTCAAGGTGACCAGATCTGATACCCTCATCAATAATATTTTTCTATATGGGACAGCTGTCCTGATAGCTGTGTTTCCTGTCTTTGGGATAATCTTTTCTTACTCTCAGATTGCCTCCTCCTTACTGAGGATGTCCTCCACTGCAAGCAGGTATAAAGCATTTTCCACCTGTGGGTCTCACCTCTGTGTGGTCTTACTTTTCTATGGAACAGGACTTGGAGTTTACCTGAGTTCTCCTGGGACCCATTCTTCCCGTGAGAGCTCTGTTGCCTCTGTGATGTACATTGTGGTGACCCCCATGCTGAACCCCTTCATCTACAGCCTGAGGAACAAGGATGTGAAGGGGGGCCTGAGGAGACTCCTCAGCAGAGTAGCCCATGGTTCTTTAGGGACCACTGACCTCAGAACTAAGGGGATGTACAAACCCTAAGACTAATGGTGTGAGTTTCAATATCCTGGCTCCTTTTCTCTCCTAAATTGCATGCTTAATTTCTGGAATTCCTAAAGCACTTAGGTTTTGTTTTGTATACACTTTTTATATTTGTTTCTCTTCAACAACTCCCTCAGGATTTTCTTTGCACTTGCTCTTTTATGTACAGTGCCTAAAGTTTCAAATCTAATAAAATTTCTCTTACATTTCTGAGACTTCTAAAATAATAGAAACACATGTATCATGGCCAGATATGATCTTTAAAATAACTGCTTGATGTTAATGTTCTTCACCACAATATGGTTGTATTCTCCTTTTCCCAGATTAAAGGGAATAAGAATCATCAGAGCACTTACCATATCAGATTTGTGCTTGTTATTTTACATGTATGATTTCATTTATTTTTGAAAGTTTATCTTTGAGACATTTTCTCTCATTCACATAATTTCTGAATGTAAGTGCATGAGGTTGGGATGCAGTATAACTGGATACTGACACTAAACACATACTTCTACCTTTGGTGTCTCATGTACATTTTGCTAAGACAATGGTTAGATTTTCAACATAAAAGCAGGAATGTACTTTTAAAGTTAAGTTTCTTTATTTGATTTCAAGTGATATCATGCCCAAAGTAACTCTGAGATTTGTTGTAAATTGGGGCAATCTTATTTTTTATCTCATTTATTTTCCTTTTCTTCCTTTTTCCCCCTTATCATGTTTCCTTCCTTCCTTCTGTTCTATGCACTTTTTTTCTTTCTCCCTCCCTCCTTTCATTTCTCCCTTCCTTTTTTCCTTCATTCTTTATTCCTTCTTTCCCTGTTTTATTTTTCTTTCCTGCATTCTGTCATTATCTGCTTCCTGGTTTCATTCCTTTATCTCTTCTTCTTACTTTTGGGCACTTTTATTTGGTAATGTTAACTTTCTCCATTTATTTTTAATAATATTCTACTGTTTATATTACTCACAGTGCTTATCCATTCATCCATTGGTGAAGATTTTGGTGGTTTCTAGCCATTGGCCCTTGTAAATAGGGCTGTAGTGAATACACATGCACCTTTACGTGTTTGAGCACAGTCATACACTACAGAATGATGCTTTACTCAAGACTGTGTCTGCTCTGGGGTCACATAACATATGAAATCCTTTTCATTTCTATCTGTTTAAGAATACTGTATGTTATTGGCACAGCTCTTCTCAGAACCCAACCTAGGTGTTAAGCAGCAAATATTTGTGTTTGTTTCTCATTATTAAAGAATTATATCTAGAAGTGGAAGAAATTACTATCTTAGAAAGTCATTTTGTGTTTAATAACTTCAAGAAAAGATAAACACATGTAGCACTCTAGTGTAAAAAGATTCTAATATCTTCATATACTCATCAATACTTGTGATTTCCAATCTTATATAAAGTGAAGCCTACCATTGGAATTATAGTTGTATCTTACTGTGATTTTGATTTGCATTTTCCCATGACTACCTATGCATTTTTCCAGTACTTCTTTGTAGATTCCATATGTTGTGTAACAAATGTCTTTTCAAGGTTTTACTCATTTTGAACTAGTGAATTGTATACTTTTACCTCTGACCTGTAAGATTTCTTTGTACATTCTGATTACGTGAATCTGATCAGGTATTTCTTTTACAAATACATTACCCCTCTGTGTTTTATTACACTTATTTCAATTATACATCTTATTGTTAACTATATGAATGATAATATAAAGTAGATCTCTTGAAGTTATTTCTCTCAACTGAAATTGTATTCTTTGACAAACACCTTCTCAACTCCCTGACGCATTATCCCTGGTAGCTACCAATTACCTCTGTTTTCGTGGGATTTAATGTTTCCCACTCTACAGGTGAGTTCATGAAGTTTATCTTTCTATGACTGCCTTATTTCTGTTACCAGAATGTTGTGTATTCTCATCTATGTTGTACCAAATGATTTCCTTCTCTTTATGGCATATTTATGTTCCCCTGGTTTTCTTTCCCACATTTATTTATATATTCATCTGGTGACAAATACTTAGCCTAATTACACATCTTGACTATTGTGAATAACACTGCCATGATTATGGGACTGTACTTGTGTCTTTATATACAGATGTCAGATGATTTGGATACATGTACGTTAGAGGCATTCCAGGATCATATGGGAGTTCTAGTTTTAATTTTCTGAAGAAATCTCAAAATATTCCATGAGGGCTAAAATTTTATTAGTATTCAAGCTTCCCCAGAAAACCAGAATCACTAGGATATTTATGTGTAAATATAGGTTGATAGGTGGTAGATAAATGGATAGAAATAGCTAGACAGATGTAGAAAATAGCGATGGGCAAACCTTTATACCCAGTGTGTTATCTTTTGAGCATATAAACAAATGATAATGATGATTACCTGCTTTTGATCTGGCCAATGATTGATGTAAAAAATAATTTGGATAGTTTTTCAGCCCTCCAGGGTAAAGCACTTTTAGAGTTCAAATAACCATTTAAAGTTAATAAACATCAGAATAGATGATGTTGATGCTATCTCTATTTACTGAATTCATACCAGAAGTATGCATTATCTATTCTATCATAGCGTTTTAAAGTTACTTGCCATTAAAGTAAGGGGTTAGAAGCCATGAGAGTTAAAAATGCACCCCAAGAGAGAAGCTGAGCCCGTCCCAGCACCCAGAAGGAAGCTCCCCCACTGCCATCCCAAGCTTCTAGGGCAGAGAAGCTGAGCCGGTCCCAGAACCCAGAAGGAAGCTCCCTGACTGCCATCCCAAGCTCCTAGGGCAGAGAAGGTGAGCCACACAGGCACCAGAAGCATCCCCCCCCCCGGAAAGGAGAAGACATGTAAACAGGCCTCAAAAACAGACTTCTGGATCACCTACAG